AAAACTCTGACATCAGATAATCTCTGTTGTCTACAGATTGTAACTGTAATTCCAAAAATAAAAGCATGGAATACAAAGGCTGCAACATGCTCTGTGAGAAGCGTATACCTATTCCCTGACTCACTCCTTAAATCCCAGCTGACTGGGCAGGAGAATGTAAATAACCATAGCTGGGCATGTGTGCTTTACCTCATTCACTGTTGACAAGGTATCCTCTTCCTAAGCCTAGTACCATTAAACAAGACAGGTCAATGTAACATGGTGAGGGGAGGAGCCATGGGATGGGGTCAAGGGCAAAGTGCCGGTAGGGGTTTTAGCAGAAAGTTAATCTGATCTGAAATGCAGCTTTGTTTTAGAAGGTGGTCCTTAAATAGGAATTCTTAGTATAATGCTGTGATATTTTGGCACTGCTTTCTAATCCTGTGTCAACACATTGCAGACACATAACACAACAAAGTATAAAGTCCTTTTAGTTGACTGCAGTGCAACTCCTTAAACTGGCACAACAAAATGACCAGCACTCCAGACAGTGCTGATATCCACACAGGGTGTGGGAACCTGGGTTCCCCAGGGCTATGTCCAGAGTCATAAATCATATGACTCTATGATTTAGAATCCAGATCTGGGGGCGTCCACACACACAAGGTATTTATAGAGCTCCTACCTGCATTGCTGCCTGCACAAGCAAGAACCTCACTGGTCTGGTTGTTTGCTATTCATCATTATGGGATGGGAGAGATCAGTTCAAACTGGGATAATCCTGATTTCCCCCACCTCCTTCCCCTCACCCTGAATGTGCATCATTACCTTTACTGACGTGAAGAAAAACATATATTTTGCTATTCTTAAAATACCTAGTTTTGCATTCAGAAGTAGAGCTGCACAGAAAGGGATGCTTTCAAAGATGTTTACCCTAAACCTGCCCTCTGTGCTCTCACATGTGTTGCTGGGCCATCTGCTCCATAAGATTGATGAGGACATTGGCTACTGGTGTGACTGGGCATTTTTCAGTGAGACTACTCAGATCAGCAAGGTTATAAGGAGTGAAAACAGACCTACAGGCCTGGAGCATCAGTTCAAGGCAGAGACTTTTGTCAAGCTGAATAAGCTGATTTGAGGCTGCGGTCCTACTTGGTCTCTGATGCGAGTAGGTGGCTGGTTCTGGGTGTAGTGGCGGGCTCAAGGCAAGGCTTGGTGGGGACACAGCATTCTCAGTGTTTCATGCCTCTTCTGTTTAGGAGTCCCTCTGCCCATTAAAAGGCCTTTATGAGAGGAGGATTTACTGGAATGGTTAAGGAGACACTGGAAATGCCCAGTGAATATTCCCTGGCACACTATATGCTGCTATATGTAAGAGGCTAGCAGGTCCTCTGCACTCCCTGTGCCCAACCACATCCCGGCTGCTGGACTCCTGATCACTTCTGAGAGCTGCTCAATTGGGGCGGAGTCAGCTTACCTCACTTCACTCATCTAAACTACCTCCAAAGTCAGTGGAGAGAGACTAGCATCTCCAGAGAATGATTTAATCCATCCTAAAATAATCTGGATCTCAATGCCTCTCCTCCTCCAGTTACCCTTCTCTACATGGCTTTTACAGGGAGCCTAGATGAGTGGCTTAGACTAGGCTGAAGTGAGGCGAGATGAATTTTGATGTGCCCTGCTTGCTTGCCAGCAGTCTGCATGAGAGGAACTGTCTTGTGTTAGAAGGATACAATGGGAATAATGTCTCCTAAGATATATTTTTCTTCCTTGTGAATTTTGACTGTGATTTTTAGAGTAAATAGGTCAAAAGTTTGCTTACTTTCTTATATCCTAAAGTATTAACTCATAGCAGACTTTTACAAATGTTGAGAAGACTAATAAATTAATAGTACTTACTGTATTTTGAGCTATATGCAGGTGCAAATGACATTACCTCTTCCCTTAGATCATAAATGAAAGGAGAAAGGGAAAAGCTATGGAGCCAGTAGGAAAATAAACAGCATAGTTCTGCTTACTTACATAATTTCCACAGAGCATAGTAAGAAAACTACCAAGTGACTTAGGATGTTGAAATACACATCCCAAACTCTGGAACATTTATCATTTAATTGTGCTTTTCTCTGAATATGTCTTTCAACCTTTCATTCTGGTTAATGCAGGGGACAAAGGAGATTTAGCGTCACTTGTCATGAATGAGTGACACCCCTGGTGAACATGAAAAGGGCTGCATTGCATTCCTATTGATCTTTTCTGCCGTACTTCTTGTGTGATCCTTTCTCACAGAGACATTATTTGAAGGAGTATTATAATCCTTTTTGATGTACACAATCCTATCAAGCTATCAAGGCATGAAATACTTTTATGCTGAACTTGTCAGTTTTCTTCCTTAATATTCAACCTGCATGTAGAATAAAATAAAATAACTCTCTGCAACGTGAAGTGAATACTACTAATACACACATGATGTTGGGGTTTGTTGCTTCATGGTAAAACTGTCATAAAAAGACAACAGTATTAAGAACGTATGCTCTTAACCATACACAGAAAGCCATACAATGGCAATTGCTTTTAAAAAGTCTTTGTTGCTAGAATCAAATTTGTCATCTTCTGCAAATATGATACTGTAGTCTACAAGATCATTTCTGATCACAGATTGTTATAGCTGAATAGCAAAACATGAATATTAATATTGTGTGAAGACAATTTACTAATGGAAAGTCTGGGGATAAATTGTGAAGATGCCTTTGAAAGGCAGTATCATATATATATTTTTGAGCAATATTCAACCTTTGAGAAACAAAAGGTATAAGTGTTTGTTAATGAATGAGATGTAGAACTGCACTGGAATGAAAACTAAGGGATGATGAGCAATCTGCTTATGAATAGGACATGAAAGAGATTTATCTGACTTTAAATTTTCTCTAGACTGTAAATGAGAATGATTTCCTTTCAAAAGAAAACTTAAATGATTTTTTAATGTAGATATATTTTCCAGTAGTGCAGTTAAAAAAATATTAGAAAAAAAGTCTTTTTCTGTCCTATTTTATTACACTTCCATAGTGACAGGAAAATAAATTTAAGACAATTCAAAATAACTACGTACATTTTATTATACATAGCCCTTTGGTACTTACAATGAGTCTGTTGATATGAACTTGCTGAGGTAACAGTCCCAGTGCTGCTGCCACTCCTTGACGAAATATCCGAAGCAATGTGATATTCAGCTTGTTTACATCCATTTGCAGTGTCTGCAAAACAAAAGCAGTTCAAAATAACTCCTTGCTCAACATATTCAGTTCTCAAGAAGACTGACCTCTGAGACTCTTCATTAACTGTATTTTTTCCCAGAATCATGATCTGTGCAATCTACTTGCATTGCAATAAGGAATAAGGCTAAAGGATCTTAAATGCTGCTCATTAGCAAAGTACCACTTTTCCTCAAATACATTCAAAATAGGTTCCAGAGGTTTTTGGCTAAATTCCTTGGACAAGTCACAGTGTTCAAGATAACACAATTACTACATTAAAAATGAAAGTCAGGCATTAAACATCAATTCACCTTTAAAGAATGAGATGTTGGATTTACACAATGAAGACTGGCTTTTCTCCCTGCAGGTGAAGAATGAGTCAGACATAGTGAAATTATACAATTTTAATTTTGATTAGTGGTTTCTGAGATCAAAAAAGAAACATTCTGGATACATTCCACGTGCTTGAATTTCCTAAAACTTCCTCATGTGAGTCAGAGAATGCTATAATTCTCAGCAGAGACCAACTATATCACTGAAGCATTTTCTTTCTCTGTTGGAATCATAATGAAATGTAAATGTTTCCTCAAGTTCAAATGCTTCCTCTGAAGTGAGTGGAATTTTACCCAGCAAATAATTTAGGTCCAAATCTTCTGTTTCCGAGAAGACCCAGATATGGGGTCTTCATGTGACGCCTGGTGGCCAATACTTCCATGTGGTACTTTGGGGTCCCTTTCTTCGCTTCCGTATCTCCTTTGCAGACAATATGTAGTAGAGAAGAGAGGGAAGAGGAGTCTATCAGATGGTCCCAGAAGGCTTCCAATGTTTCTGGCAACTTCTGACTTAGGAAGTTAGTAAGTTCTGACTGAACCAGTTGACTTGAGCTGAAATTTTTTTTTATTTTAAACTTCCTATTTAGAGTCATAGGCCAGCTTGCTGATCCAATTAAGTATTCTTCCTTCCTAACCAGAGCTGCATAAAGAGAATTAAATATCTGTGGGTCAGACATCATACTGGGAATATGGTTATGACCTAGAAAGAAAGGCAAATTTTTTCTCAAAGAAAAACAGCATCATACACTTTGACGGTTATTCTTTATTTATCAGTAAGTATTTATAAGCTACGATGTAAAACCATAAAATATTTGCTTTCCTTTTCTACAGTCAGTTTGATTTTTCCATCAGTACTGAGTTTTTCATTTTCCCCTCCCCATTTTCTCCTTTTTTAACACTATTTTTTCTCATTTTTTACACTTTCAGGTCTTGATGCATTAACTGAGATCTGGTCTTATCATACAGCTGAGCTTTAATTTAGCTGGAAGTATTACAGGATTCTTCAATTTAAATGACCCTTTCTACCATGGCATTTTCAAAGTGCAAAATCTTCTTATTTTTGCTTCTTCAATTAGACAGACATCCTGAGTGGTTACAAAACTGTTCCAGCTTTGCCACTGAACCAGATAAATGTCTTGAGAGGGAACATATGGAGACCTAACAGATCTGAGCATCATTGTTTCTGTTCCCCAGACTGGCTTGCTCTGTCCACAGAGCATCTGAGCGATACACCAGACGAGAATTGCTTTGGAGCTGTTAAGCCACCACTACACTGAAAGTCGACAGCCTGGCCTGGGGATCCTGGGTAAATGAGAAACGGAGTTGTTGCTGAAATAGGAAGTCTGTCGTGAGGGTCCCTAGAAATCCATCAGGATGGTATAAAGAGTGTGAAACTGCTTGTCTAAGTCACTGACCCTGAGTTATGGGGATAATGCTAACTGTCATTACTGAGCAAAATTATCAGGCATAAAATCAAAATACATTCACTTAAACTTACTTGAGCCAGGGATCAGATCACATTAACAGAGATGTTGTTAAATAGTGTGTTAAGAGCTCACTAATAAAGACACAGAAATGAAACAGCCAGAAAAATATCTAACTTCAGATGAAATAGAAGATCCTAAAGAGCCTATAAGGAGGTAATAAATTCTTATAGGTTTAGTATGCTGGGATTGTGGTTCATCCTATCCAGGGACAATAAAACATGGTGAAACTCCATTAGCTTCAGGAGAGTCACATTTCATTCTACCTGGTCTGAATTTGGTCCACCATGTCCTATAACAAATAGTCATAAAAGGCTGCACAGTGCGTGTGTGTGTCTGTCTCTAACAGCTGTATTGTCCTTTGTGGTTCTGGAGGAAGCCTGAAGTCCACAGCACTTGCTCTGTCAGTCTAGCCTTGCAGCTGGAGATTTCAGGACCCTTTTAGGAAACCTCCTAAGTGGGTGGGAAAAAAATTGTCCTTAAGCCTCATCTCAGGGGGCTTCTTGTTTAGCAATATTTTTTGTGACTGTTCATCCAAAAAACCCCAAGAAATATCTGAGGAAGAAAAAGCTCACATTTTTTATAAGAACCTTGCCTTGCTGTCCATTGAAGGGATCTGCTTCTCAGTCGCTGGTGTTAGTGTGAAGCTTAGTTCCTTGGCAATTGTAGCAAAAATTAAGTAAGAGTTACATAGGCTGCCTTTTTCTACATCAGGCAGCACCAGAGAGTACATTTGCCTCTTCCTATCAAGAGGAAAGTTAGCAATCCAGAATCTGCCACTTTAGGAATGGGATTTCTGACTTGATCAGTGAAAGATAACGTATAGAAATGCTCAAGGGGACCCCAAGAGGACCTGTTTTAGAGTGAGCAGCATATCACAAACGTGCTTTGTGCTCTCTATTACCTCCGTGCTTGTACTGGATTCATAAAAGCATAAAGCAGGAGTCGACCAGACAGGAGATACATCAAGTTCGGTACCCTGTGGCCAACTCTGGGTGCTTTTGGAAAATGATAGGAACAGGGCAAGATTACACTCTTTTCCTAAGCTGCTCCTGACAAGATCCAGGCCTTTTTATTTATGCCTACTCAGTAGTAAAAGGCAATAGGTCTCCTCAGTTACATGAGTGTTATCATACAATAACCCGTACTGACACTATCAAGATCTGGGATGAAGGCAACACTTGGAGGTATTATATTCTCAATTCTGGCATGTGTCCTCCTGAAAGTGACTGAAATCTAAGCCTGTTCTGAAGGTCTGGTACAAAACTACCTTTCTGCAAATTCCTACTATGACAATTTTTGTTGAGAAAAGTTAGTCAGAGAAAGAAAAAAAGAAAAGAAAAATAAAGACAGAGAAGAGAAAGAAAAAATAAAGTCCTAACTACTCATATCAGTAGAAAATTTCTAAAAAATGTTTAAAATTTTAATATTTTAATATTCATGTGCCATTATGATGGCATGCCTAGATAGTGTGTTGACTATAGTCCACAAAAGTAAGAGATTAGGATAGAAAATTGATAATGAATGAACTACAAATGCAACAATACTTGCACATTAGACAAACAATATAAACTATCATTGAGAGTATCATTCCTAGAATGGAAACCTGTCCAGCCATTTACAAGTTACAATTACAGAGACAAAATCATTATGTATTCTAACATCCCCTGCAATAAAACATGAAATTAACCCTGGTAAAGTAAATCCATAGACATAAATAACATAAAGCATTAGCACAGATACACAAGTTCTGTCTTACTGTGTTCTTCTAGTTGCTCCTTTGGCTTTGGAAAAGAAAGAGCTGAACCATCCCAGTTAGACAGCACTAATCATTTACCCTTTGCTCATCTGCAGTGTTTATCATGGATTGCAACCTACTCCCCAAGGAGTTTACAATTTTGAATCCGCTACTGCTCTTGGCAATAGTGACTTGTTGAGCCTCAAGCCGAACACCCTGGACGACTCATTTCCCTGAGCAATTACCGACCTGGATATTGCAGCTGTAGCGACAGTCTCTAGGTTTATCTGATCCAAGCAAAACAGGTAGTTTGAAGGGAAGGAGTTTTCTGCTTGTAGACTTTGGAAGTCTGAGTTCCAGAAAAGGAAACTCAGCACAAAAAACCACCAAAGACTATTCACAACTGAGATCCTACATGGGCTTTTTAATAAAGATTTTCATGTTAAAAAAAAAAAAAAAGACTAACATGAAAGGGATGAATGTATAACACAATCTCTGAAATTGTATTTTTAGATATGATAATAAATTATAATTTGTCAAGTTCTGCTTCTCAAGAAAAATTCAGAGATGCCTCCCTTTCTTATCCTTTCCTTATCATCAGTGATACCCTTTCTGCAATGAGCCTCAAATACACCATTCCTCTTCTATACCCTGGTTACTTCTCTCTAAACTCCTCCTGACTCTACCACCACAGGTGTTTTCTCCAATATCCAGCTAACCTAAATATACAGGAAGAAAAATAATCAAGGATGAAGAAGGTTAAAGGTTAAAGTAGAAGTCTTCACAATATTTTTATGAACAAAGATTAAAAGTAAATCAACAAATTCTACCATACTAGGAATTTTTCATATTTAAGGGCCACTGGATAGTAAGTTCTATTTTGTGCTAAAATCAAAGGCAGACAATGTTAAAAACAAAAATAAAAATAATGACTCTGTTTGCTTAGGCCAAACAAAAGAGAAAACTCAGAAAAGATTTGTCTTACCTGCCTGTGCTCCTCTTATTTATTTATAAGAAAGTCACCAAAAGTGCTAGAAATTGGTTTTCGTATTAAAGCAAATACTGGACTGTGGCCAGGCTGTGAGTGCCTCCATGTGAGCACCCTGCTCTGCTGCCTGCATAGTGACAGTGTCTACAGTTAATTAGTGTCACCGTGTTTCATCTTGCCACCCTCATCAGACAGCCTCAGCTGTACAACTGAAAAAAGATTTATCAGGAGCAAAGGTGAAAGTGTTGGAGCTGTATTTGTACAGTTTGGGTAGAGTACTACAAAAAATCTGTCATCAAACTGTGAAAATACCTGCATTTTATCTTTTCTTCTCCTAAAACATATTAGATTTGCCTTCCAGATGCACTGATTGTCATGTTAGCCCCTTTGGCTGGCTCAGGTGGCCTAATACACATGCACAGAAGATTTTGGCTTTTATAATCTTCTGTGTGTCACGCTCACAGAA